AACTTTATAGCTCTGCATGCGTACGTACACCCACACCGAGAGATGGTGTTCATTTGCACACAGCTAAAGAAAAAATCGTACCAGAATAAGAGAGAGAGAAAATAAGCAGTTTTGTTGCAACGAGCTTCGATCTAGCTGGTGAACCCCCTTGTACGTCCGTTAGAGAATCGATGATTGGCTCAAGGGCTTTTCTACTGCGCCATGAAATTTTACGAGTCCATCGCGTAAGACAAGTCACTCACTAGTAGCAGTTACAGCAGTGATCTATTCAATTCTGTTATGCAGGAACGCTTATTGTCCTTTTTTGCGCGAGGCTTTGTAGCCAAAAGATCACAGCTAAGCAGCCTCTAAATCTGTGACATATCCTTTCCATTTCTTTCTCTTTCTGGTCATTATTACTGTCTTGACTCGTCATTGAATATATTGAATTGAATTCTTAAGTGGGGACAAAGTCAACCATACAAATTACATGTACTTTTTTTACGTAATTCTTAGCAATCGGAGAAAAGTACCACTCAAATTGGTTTAAAATTACTGTGTGCACAGCATTTACCGTATTCAAAGCTCGTGTAAACAAACGAAATCCGTGAGCATTAATTTTCCGCTTTTCGAATCGCTAACTTTAAAATGCCGGTTATCGCAATAGGCAGCAAGTACAAGCATAAGGTACACACAATCTGGTTGCTTTAAAACCGCGAAAAAGAGCGCGATCGCCGCCTTTCGTTGAAAGTCTCTCACACGCGGCTCCTTTTCCCACACAGTGCGCTACCCCGAGTCCGAGAAGATATCACTTTTTCCCTTGCTCGCACTCGTGTATTTACATGCGTGCGCGCGTATATGGAGAAGAAAATAATGACATGGGGCTGCACTTTCTAGCTTCTCGGCTTTTTGCGGTCAACCCTCATTGTGATTTGCCGCCACCGCTTACACATACGCGTAACCCCATTCTCGCGCGCGCATCCTGCCCATTGTTTTGCTCGGGGCACTTGGACGAATGCGTGCATAAACGGTCACTCCCACCGACTGAGAGGCGAGCGCGTATCCACGTTGCACGGTTACAGCTACCTGTGTATCGAGCTCTGCCCTTGTGCAATGCTCGCGCGCGGCTCAGGTGGCTCGAGTCGGATCGCCTGCGTTTCTTCCCTCGACTCGCTGTTTTGTCGCCAAAACCGTCAAAGCTTCTCGCTTTTTCTTTTGCACGACGCCTATCGTTTGACGCAGCTTCTGCCTTTCAGCGGCGAGTTCTTGTTTACGAGCCTTGGCCTGCGCATTGTTTTCGCTTTCTCCGTATTTGATCCTGCGATTTCGCATTCAGCTTTACGTGCTACTATTACATATATACCCACCGTGTTTACGCACTCGCAAAGGTAATTATTACGTTCGCGAGTGTTTTGTCACCGCGATTATGCCGACATTGGCATTTCTTTATTTTTACGTCGCCGATTCTTTTTTTTGAATGCACTTTGATGCACGTGTGAAAGCAATACAATGTTTTGAAATTCGATTCGTACATTCATTGTATAAATAAAGGTTTATTGCTCATCTGTTATGAATTTTCCTCCAAGAAGAAACATAAATGAACTTGACCACTAACGTATTTCCATCTGCGTCTATTCGATGACGCCAGAAAAGAGTCTATGCGCTAATTACAAAAGCCATTTTCACATGCAACCTAACGCCGATGCGTGCGCGCGTATAACGTATTACATTTATGGGCATGCAAATATTAAAGTCTACTCGGACGTTACTGTCGAGCCGCGCGGTCTATGCATGCTTATAAAGAAACAGGAAATATAGGTACACCAGAGTTGTAATAAGATAAACGTAGTACACAGAGTGTAGCGTGAACGACACGGGGTAAAGAACTGAGGGTGAGTAACATGAACTGCTTGGAAGCATATAATCTAGAATTTACCGAGTATATCATACCATGTAATAGGGTTAAATATATTACAATAAGTACTTGCAGCTCTTATTTTATAAAATCATTCTTCGACTCGAAGAATGAAAATCTGCCTAGTCATTTTTTTCCAAGACTATTTTACTCAACTACTTTTGAGCGTGTTACTTACTTATATAGTAATAGCACTGCAATATAAATATGTTTCTTGTTGTTTTTGGTCATTTTTTCATAACTCCCCTAATATAAAAGCAGTGTTAGAACAGTTTCCGAGTGCTCGATTCATTACGAACATTACTTAATCATAATAGCTGCCGTTATTTATTATACGAGCCTGCAAATCAAGGTGTTTTTCAAAGCTTATTTGTGGCAACAGCCAACATTAAATCGTTGACACCTTTCAATTACACGCGTTCACGGCGTTTAATATGCAACGAATAATTATACTTACACGTTGCGAACACCTACGGCTGTGCACTGTTTTTCTGTACCTACACATTATAATACTCCCACTATGCTCCTACGAAAAAAAAGCTCTCGCTCGTGTCAAAAGGGCTTTATTATTCGCGCGTATTTGTATATGAACGCAGTTATAACCTGGGAGAGAATCATTTCCTCGCACCTTCGTGCGCCTACGTACAAAGCCAACGTCAAAAGCACAAAACTCAATTACAACTTGGACTCTTTTGCTCGACCATATCAGCCCCTACGTACGCGTTGTAAAATGAAAAAATCCCGGCATACATACGTGTGTACGTTAGGGCGCAATTAAATTCTGCAGGGTGCAAAATTTTCCCTCCGCCTCCCTACCTCTCGTTCCGTGTCTCTCTTTGAGTTGAAAAAACTCTTTTTTCCATAAAATCAAACAAGTTCGTGGATGTGAAATTGCACTAACTGTCGCGTGTGAAAGTCGCGTACACGAGAGTATCTTGCATGTAACATGCGTGTATTCAATAATTGCACGGTATATTTCAGTAGAACCAATACATGCATAAATTACCTTACATCTTGCACATAATATCGGTTGTAATATTTCATAAAAATATGATGAAATCAGTCAAACTCGTAGCTTATATTTTGGCTAATATTCTGCATAATATACTCGAAAACTACTTCTACACTAGAGCAGATATAGAATATGACTTAAAGCATATGGTAAGAGCTACATTTAAATTTCGCCTTCAATGATCCGTTGCACGATCCGTTAATTTATAGAAACTTTACAACAATTGAAAACTTTCGAATAAAATTTGCTGACATTACAATGTTAATTACTAAATTTTATAATTCGGCTTCCGACATAATTTTTCTGGTATCGTTGAAGACTCTTAAAATGAACAAACATTATATATTTTGAACCAAATCGAGTATTAAAATATCCGTAAAAAATTTTTAGGTCACCCATATTACGATGAAAGAAAACTTTCACTTTTAATGAATAATATAAAATCAAAAAAGTTTCGATATATTACCGATTCGACATATTAAACGTACATTGGCCTTAACTTGTGGAAGAGTCGCGCATGAATAAATACACCTAACTATTAGTCCTCAACAAACTTGATTTTAGGGCTTTCACAGCTCTTTTTTATTAATAAAAAATTCATAAGACAATGTGCTACGCATAAATCATTGATGATTTTTGTGAAAATAAAAAAATTCGTTACTTTTGGAAAAATTGCATTGTCGCTGTCTCACATCAACTTTTCGACTGGTCAAAAAGCTTATTTAAATACAAAAGAAGCTATAACAATGAAGCTAAAGTCGGAATCGTTAGCATACGACTTGTCGAGCGCGAGCGGTATGCAGTTGTGGAATGAAAACACTGAATAAGCGTAATTGCGATGCACCTTGCACTCGACCGAATAAAAGGAATGCAGCCAAGCATGATTTCGACATATGGTCATTTAAGTACACCCGCGCATATTTAATATGTGCGGCATTTAGTAGTGGGTCTGAAACTATGCGTAAAAAGATGATAAATAAATATAGTCGCGATGCAGCTGACTCTCTAAAAGTAGTTGCGAACCTCGAAGACACTTCCGATTGATGGTTTGTCTTCAACGAAAATTACTTCATCCGCTCCTTATACTGTGGTTTTTGCTCGCACATGGTACATACGCTCTAATAGAGCATGTTAACACTTTACGTAGTGGATGCTAATGATGATATAATTGCGTAATATTGTTTCCTTGCTTAAAATTTTTGTCACAAGAGCTACGCATGCTCTCTGATTATGATGTAGCAACGATTGAAACCATATCTGACCAAATTTAGCTTTCATTGGCGAAATATCATGTCGTCATCAGACTAGTAATTGTAGCATTATTAGTTGCACGTCATTATACACACTAAAAATAATCCAAGTGAGAATGACGAAGACATTTTTTCACCCTCGAAAATCATGGAATGAAAATAAAATCAATATAATAATCAGTATAATCAATATAATCAATATAAATATAAATAATCAGATATAAACTCAAATTAAAAGTTTTCGTACACAGATTTGAGAAAATGATAAAAAAAAAAAAATCTATTACGTTTGCAACCAAAGAATCGAAAATTCGCTTATTTCCATTTTGTAAATTTCAAGAATTTATTATTCAATCATGTATATGTATGATGCAGTTTTACGATTTTCTACACTTATTAGTATTCCTTTCCAGTTGCAAGTATGAGTATTGACGCGAGCAATTTTATTTTTAAAATGCTGAAAATGAAGATTTTGCTCACGAGTAACTCTATTTCAAGGTGGCTTATTAATCAGTAAATAATATTGGCTTATCTACTAAAATTAGTCGTCGGTACCGGTAACATAGATAAGCACGCCTTTCTTGCACTTTTTCGATAGAGCAGCGATCACAGGTGAATTTTGACTTTTCATCGTGCGTTAGCTTGTAAGCTTGATCTTGAAATTTCGTTAACATTTTCTGTGTTAGAGGGGGTATTAGAATCGTAGAAAGTTAACTTAGCATATCGATGTCATTATATGGCCATTGCGAGGCTCTTACGCGCGCGCGCGCGCTCCTCTTTTTGATTCTTTGGAAAAACGTATACAACTCTGCCGGAAATATGATCTCTAACCTTTAAATACAAGTGTTACAGTTAGTCTGCGACCGATGTCCGCGTCGCTCGTAAGGTGTTGCTTCTCCTCTACCGGCTGGCCGCTTCTCTACTGTGTCAAATCGAACTTGCTCAACAGTCAGTCAAAATGAATCTCACCGAACTGTACCACCATTACAATGTCCAGTTGGCAGGTAATATAGTTAATTCAGTGATTTTTTTTTGTACAAAAAAAAAAATGAAAAGTGAATAATATGTGTTGGAGAATATATAATTTTTTGAGTGTTACAATATTTTACGAACAATTGCAACGAAAATATTTTTATGAAATATGTGTGTGTGTGTGTGTATGTTTAAAACATCGTGTGCAATATTTTTTGGAACGAAAAATACTGAATATCTTCATCGTTTTTTTTTTATATTTTTTCTCGTGAATTACACAAGTGTTAGTTACTGAGTTTTTTTTACAGCGCCATAGTGTCAAAATATTTTTTCTTCGTTACAGATCCTCGAACGAATGACATGTTGTTGGTGGGTGACCCCATTTTGGTCGTCGGAATGTTAGTGCTCTACGCATACATTGTGCTTAAATGGGGGCCCCTCTATATGGAGACTAGAAAACCCTACTCCTTGAAAGGGTTTATTTTCTACTACAATATCTTCCAGATCGTGTCCAATGCCATCATTGTTTATACGCTAACAACGTCTGGATGGACAACTGAATTCGGCTGGGGCTGCGAACCAGTACGGTATACAAGGAGACCTATAGATTGGCGGGTAAGAATACATACTTATTCACTGTAAATCATTGCTTTACTTTCACTTTCTTTGCTTTCACTGATCAAGTAATCAAAAACGCCTAGCGGTAACATTGAAAGTTATTGAGACTTTATATCGTTCACTATTTCAGATGGTAAATATTGTTCATTGGACCCTAATGTTGAAAATTATCGATTTGATCGAAACCGTCGTGTTCGTATTGAGAAAAAAGAACAATCAAATCTCCTTTTTACACGTCTATCACCATATAAGTACTGTTGTAGTGACTTATGTATGCACCAAATATTTCCCTGGTGGAATGCTGTCGATGCAAATGATTGTCAATGGTTCTGTACATATGATTATGTATACTTATTACCTTTTGGCCAGTTTGGGCCCTAAAATGCAGCCTTACATAAATCCAATCAAGCCTCACATCACGAAAATACAAATTGTAAGTATAGATTAGTAATAATTTTTACTTCTTTTTATATTAAAACGTAAATTTTTATCGCACTTGTCTCAAATATGGAGTTTTTACCAGTAGTTGAATAAAGCTTTTTACACCTTTATAATTTCAGAATAATATTTACATTAGTTAAAATGTTTTTGCTAATTTTGCATAATATCAATATTTTTCCGCTTTTAAATATTAAGTAATAACTATTTAATGTATTACTCTAACAACTCTCCAAAGCTTATACTAATGTAAAATATTTTTTTTAGATTCAATTCTTATTGTTGCTAACGCACCAGTCACAAGCGTTTTCTTCATCCTGTGATATACCAAAGATAGCTCCAACGATCATAGTTGGCAATCTTCTCTTGAACTTAGCGCTATTCTTGAACTTTTATAGACAAAGTTATTCAGCAAAAAAAATTGAGTAAACGTAAAAATAGCAACAATTGTAAATATGTAAATTAGATAATCTCATCAAATCATAAGTCACCTTTTATAATTAAAGAACATCTTTCATTCACTTACCCTTTCCATTATACCTCAGAGTTGAGGAGGCTTTGATAAATATTTGAGTAATTTTTTATTAACGTTTGAAAGGACAATTCAATAGTGAATTAAACTGTAGGGTAAATGTATTTACAGCACTGCGTGGCTTTGGTGCACTGTAATGACACGCCCTTCTGCGGTACATGTAGCACATATTAGCACCACAGTATATATAATATATAAAACTGTACTTCATGTTGTGAGCTACTTATACCGATAAAAAGGGTCAAAAGTGTAAATTTGCCTAGTGCTAAAGTAAACTACGATATTTGTACCACAAGAAGTTTTTTTGGTACGGCTACTTGAGCTCTCGCAGTGCTCGGGCCCTAAGATCCGCTGTGTTGTAAAGCGATACTTATGGAACTTATATCGTTATTAAGTACTGTTATAAAATACATAGCTTCAATGAAATTTGTTGTGTACTGCCTGATGGTCTTCCTGCGCTTAAATCGTACACATGGTGTATTCATTCTAACATAAAACAATTAGTTAATTTTTTGATTGTTTTTTTTTCAATTATGTACTGCGCAAAAATAATTCAAAGCGTTAGGTAATTGATTCATGTATAAAAATTATATGGAAACCTATTAGGTCATTAAAGTTATTGGAGATATGTCATATTGTACCAATATGAACTAATCAATTTTTTGTATTAATTAATAACGACATTATTAAAGTTTTATTAATAAAAAGTCAAACTGATGAATTTATTTCAACCTATCACATATATTCAATACCTATTTTATCTCAAGTAAATTGATTGATCGATCTATTTTCAAATATTTAATTGCAGTGGATCATCGGACATAGTAACGATCCGGAATATTATTTTCATATTTTATGGTTTTATAATATAAAATGTCTTTCGACAATTTAAAAGCAATAATGGTTAAATAAAGTCATAGCTGTTAAAATACGGTATGTTTTTGCCAGCACACTTTTTTACACGCGTAATGTTTACTCTTGGCTTCGGCAAGATATACAAATTCATATTGCTGTCTAGACATGCTACGTTGCAGCAGCGAAGTGGTGATTTGTAGTCGTCAATAAGTAGTATCTCGGACCGTGACATATCTCACCGATCATAATTACATCTGACTATACGTATATCTGAGTGTTAGTATAGCTAGAATATCAGGATCCTCCTCGTTCCGATGTTTCGTCTATAGTAAGGGATCCACGCCACTACGTCAGCTCACTCATCTCTCTCTCTCTCTCTCTCTCCGGTTATTTCTCGCTTTTCGCCTTACAGGTCTACATCACGTCTGTCTCGATAAGGTCTCCCGAAGCACATCCTCCGGGTTTGACTTGTAAATTACGATACACTACCTCGTGATACTATTTGTCTTACTTGAAATATAGCTATAGAAACGTTGAGATGTTAGCGCTATTAAACTCTGCTACTGATGCTCTTGTAAGCTCTCAAAAGCACGTATTTCTTATTCATATATGCGTGAGCATCAATGTTTTCGTTGCTTATTACTTGGGCAGCAAATTTTGCAAGCAAATAAAAATAAATGGAAATGGAATCGGTGGTACAGATCAGTCATTTCTTAAGCAATTATTAGTTACCTTGATTAATAGTACTTTTTTCAAAATTATCTGCTTATGCAATGCGAGACGATGAAGACCCAAACTTTCAAGCAAAACGTATCAAGCAGAGGATTAAAGTGATCGAAGAACAGCAGCAACAGCAGCTAGCGGAGAGTATCGAGCTTTTAGCTGCGAAGTCAATGCATCAAGCGAGGCATTAGTAATCGAGCTTAAGTCTGTAAGCAATTTCATTCCCCTCGATGCGATGGTATATAGCTGCTGGTAGGATCGGATCGCCTCAACTTCTCGACCAATACGACGGCCACACATGCAAGTGCCCGAGTGCACTTAGTGCAGCCACGATATTCAGAGCAGTGTCGCACGCGTTGGCTTCTCGGACTCGGCGTCGTTGTGCGCGCTCCCACGTGTCAACTCGTGCTGATTTACTGCCGTCACCGACACAAGCCTTCCTCCCTTTACGATCGTACTTACTAATCGGTCAGAAGCAGTAATCGAGGTGACCAAAAGGGACGATCCAAACGCCCGCTACTGATATCTGCACACTTCAAAAATTAAAATAAAAATCACAAAGTCTGCTGGGTTATCCTCTTTAGAAGCTTCCATATTTATTGCCCGTACGCTCGATTACTAGAACATTTTTCCTCTAAGCTTACGTATAAAGTTGGATAATTTAATCTTATAGTTCCATTCAATAATGTTCGACATAGGTCGCGAATGAGTAATCGAAGTAAAATGTCAATTTATGCAAGGTTCTCAAAACCAGTTGAGATTAATTTTCAAACGGATATTTTTGGATTCTTTTTTTTCTTCTTTGGATGGTCAAAGAAATTTTTTAAAATATATGTAGTAAAAATATTGTATACTTCTTATTCATTTTACATTATTATTTTCCATTTTTACACTGAATTTGAGGTTTTTGATTTTTTTTGCTTTTTCATAGAGGAAGCTCTGTGATAAGCTCGAAAACGAGATTTTGAACCAGGCTTTGTCGGACGATTGAATTCACAACCAATGTCCATAGGTTAGCCCTTTGACTAAGATCGAATTGAAGGTATGTACACAGAATAGAATGTAATCTCAGCCAAGCCTCTTTTTATCAGCTTTAATTGAAGATTCATAATCAGTTCAGCAATAATAAAATTTTAGTTAGTTAATGTTAGTGATCAAACATAAAAATAACATTTTTCTATCGCGAAGCTTTTTGCCAGAGAATTCACAGCGATTTTTTTTAATAGTTATATTATTTAAAATTTCTACAAAAGTACTGGCGCAAAAAAGTATTAGTTGTCTCATATTTAAAAATGACGCAGTTAAAAAAAATCTTTTTAAATGTATCTCCGGAGTCGAGTTGTAAAATTATGGACAATATCAACCGTTACTATACAGTAGAAAGGAACATATAGCTATTACAAGCTGGAAATCTACTTGGTATATTTTTTGTCGATTTCCATCATCGTAGACGTGAGTACAAAAAATAGTTGAATAGGCACAGAGTTACGTTTCGCAGGTTTCTGTCCTAGTAAATCAAACTAAATACTAGTTTTTGCACGAAACTATTAGTATAAATACGCTTATAATAGGGGATTGGACAAGGGTTAAAAAGGACATAAACAGCCAGTAAATTAAGACCCTCCTAGAGAAAGAACAGTGACACATGTCTTCTATTCTTTTTGCTGTTCAGTAGCCGAGGATATGGACGCTGCAGCAACATGAGCAAGCGAGATTATTTCCTTGATCTTTACTGGCTTTCGGAGGATACAACGGCTATGTTAACAAATTAGTGCCTTTATTGTGACCTTCCTACTTTTCGTCTGACCCGTTAAGCGTACGAGTGGCTTGCTCCGATTTCGTATTAGTACACCCTTTTTTCGAACGTGTGTGAATCGTGCTGTTATAAATACTGGAGAATTATTGCTGAGAAAGTTTACAGATCAAATGTATATCGTCCTTTATAACACACTATCGCATTTATTAAGTTTATTCATTTAAATATTCATAGTTGTATTTATAAATTCAAAGAATATAAATTTAGGTCTTATAAACATTATTAAAAAAAAAGGATAAAAAAACGTGAAAAGATGTTTATTCAAATAGTACGAAGCTTTGAATATTGAAAAAAATATTGTTCTGTAATCAAAAATCATAATGTATGAACTATTGTTATTCGAATAAATCATTCGAAGCGTGAAAAATGTTACGATTTCGATCTCGAATTAAGACCCAAAGTTTTTGACGATATAATCTTTGTTGGGCCGAAGGAGTACAAAGACACGGCAGTGCAAAATGAATCTGAGTATAGTCAAATGCTAAAATATATCTTTCACGCTACCGCGTCTTTGTGAATACATAAAGGCAAAGATGAAAGCTAGAGAGCGGACGATAATCGGGCCTAGTGTTGTTCAAACCCCTTTTCAGAACGGAAATCGCGTCCGGCGTGGAAACGAACACTCTCATTTTCGTCGCTATGCATACATATGCGCGTGTGATCGTCGAATTAATTCACCATTAATATGTTACCCTTAACCCTGAATCTACATGCACACCATATACAGCAATGTTAAAAGTAGAGGTAACATGCAAGTAAGTATCTATTGCACGTATATCTTCTCTAAATAGGAAGACTTTGCACCGCTCCGGGAACCATTGTCTATTTTGTTTGCAATTTTTTGTTTGCTCACAAATACCGAGATAAAGTATAAGGCGTGTTCTCTTTTTGAACTCTTGTATACATATATTTGCATCAATATATATGGTTTTGGACGTTAAAAAGGGACCTAATATGCCTTATTTAAACTAAGGAACTAGCAATAAGTGTACTCTTTATTAAATCTTTTGCTCAACGGATTTGATCAAAAACGCTTTAAAAATGTCACTTCTAGAAGAGGCGAAATTAGCATATTTATTAAATCGTATCAATGTTTATTCGCATTTAAGATTTGCACATCAAAGTTGACGAAATGGAATAGGCCTACGACGTTCGGTCGTTCCCTCTCAAGAAAAGATGATTTTATGCACTTGGAAATCCACTGTTCGTCTTGAGCTTATGGCCGACAGAACAATAAAGATTCGAAGCTTGAGCCCAACTAAGTCTACTATTTTATATGTATTAATAGTAAAACTATGCGTATTAGCAACGTATCTTGTTCGCTTACGCTCTATCGGTTGTTAGAAATTTTCGTAAAAATTTTGGAGGAGCAAGAATTTTACGTTAATTTATTGCATTTATTGCTTAATATATGTCCGATTCTCTGTGAAATCGAATGGCCAAAAAATTTTTTTTTCTGCAAATATGAAAAACTTGCTGTTCCCGATGTCAGAAATGTCCCCAAATTTTATTAGAATTTTTGGGACCATCTATCACTCTTTTTCAGGGGCCCGAAGTTGGCCATTTTAGGGTTTTTTTGAAATTCATGAAAAATCACAAATATTAAAATAATTCCTGGATTAAAGTAGAATGATTCAAAAGTAAAAGTGCCCAGCAACTTTTTTGTTGGAAATTGTCCAAATTTTCAGAAAAAAAATATGCCAAAGTGATTGGAACAATCTAGGTAAGTGTAAAGCAAAAAAACTGCCAAAGGGACATAAATGATGAAATCTAATCGAGTTCGAACCGGACTTTCATTTCCTAAACTATGTAAAAAGCTTCCCAAAGATGTCAACTACTGCCTGATAAAGTTTTGTAATGGGTCTTAAAGTTTAACGCAATGTAGACAACAATGTGTGGCGAAAAACATGCAAAAAAGGTCAAAAATAGGCCCAAAATGCCTAAAATCACCAAAAACAGCCATTTTCAGCCCTTTTTTGCATGTTTTTCGCCATACATTGTTGTCTACATTGCGTTAAACTTTAAGACCCATTACAAAACTTTATCAGGCATTAGTTGACATCTTTGGGAAGCTTTTTACATAGTTTAGGAAATGAAAGTCCGGTTCGAACTCGAGTAGATTTCTTGTTTTATGTTTTTTTTTTAGTTTTTTTGCTTTACATTTACCTAGATTGTTCCAATCACTTTGGCATATTTTTTTTCTGAAAATTTGGACAATTTCCAACAAAAAAGTTGCTGGGCACTTTTACTTTTGAATCATTCTACTTTAATCCAGGAATTATTTTAATATTTGTGATTTTTCATGAATTTCAA